ATCTGCTGTGTTGGTACCACATATAGGGTTTGTCACGTGCCAAAGGATGCCTTCTGCTCCTGAGGGATGTTCCAGCCCCAGCCACGTGCTGGGCAGCCTCCTCAGGCCTCTCTCTCCGTGAGATCCAACGTGCAGGTGCATTTTTCCACCCGGGGACCACACACGGGGGGAGCTCAGAGCTGTGTGCTGGAGAGCCTGGACTCCAGCTTCAAAACAGGCAGGGGGAAGTGTCCAGCTGGGAAAAGACAAACTCCCTCTGTTGAATGTTTTAGGGCCGTTTCCCTGGCCGGGGTGAGCAGAGAAGCATCTGCTGCTCTAATCCCCGTCTGTGCCGAGCGAGGATGTTGCCGGGCCTTGTCCAAACAGGGCTTTTGCAAAGGAAGGGAAGTAAAACCCGAGATAAATCTCTCCCTAATGGCAAATCCTTTGAGAAAGCCAAGTGCTGCTCCAGGAGCTGCACTGGGATTCGGGGAGTGTCTCCCAGCTGCAGCCTCGGGAGCAGTTGTGGCGTCTCCGAGCTGCCCAAACCCCGGAGGGGTGTGAGCAGGTCCCACCTCCACCCGGGGGTTTTGCTTCTCCCCTTCTTGTCCACGCAGGCTGGAGGCTCAGAGAGCACTTCCCAGGCCCTCTCCTGGCATCCCAACCTCCAAAAGGGATGGAGAACAGGAGTGAGGAGGTAGTCTGGCTCCTCCTGAGCCGTAAGCAGCCAAGCCACCACCTGCGGCGGATCATGGATGGGTGTTAGATCCATCTCCATGGAGATTAAACCCCGCTGCCACTCCAGAGGATCAGCAGGAGAGCTCTGCCGATGGCAGGGCACGGGGATAAGAGGAAGTTTGGCTCGTGCTGCCTGCCAAGACTAATTGGGATCCTCACACACCGGCTCCTCTCTGCCGGAGGCTCTCCGGGAGCGGAGCGACCTGTTCCTCCCCTCGTGCCCCAGGGAGCACAGAACACCTCACAGGTCTCCTACGCTGATTTTAGAGGATAAATCCAACCTGGGACAGTGAGTTCCAGTTCCCACGGAGAGGAGGAGGCACTGGAAGCAGCTCAGTGACTACCTGAACCTCCCACAAGGGCTGTGGCTGCCCCTGGAGCAGCGGGATGCAGCCGCCCTCACATCTCCAGTCCATCCCAGTGATCCTTTCCCCTGTATTTCTACCTCGTGCAGTTTTCCCTGCCCTTTCCCCGGGAAGGGCAGAGGGTTTCCCTTAGGTTTTGCCCACGGGGCTTTCCTGGGGCTGCAGTGGCTTTTCCAGCTGCAGAGGCTGAGCAAGGCTGTGTCCCAGCTGCACGGAGAGGGCTCCGACTCCGGGGTCATGGAGCTGCTGCACGGTAGCTGCACGGAGAAGTGATCTGTGGGATTAAATTTCCAGGAACTGGTGGGGCCCAACTCAGTTTTTGAGCCACCCAATTGAAAACAAACACAGAGAGCTCTAGATGGGCCGTGCTCGGTCGCAGCTGATTTTTATCGGCCCCGGCCGGGCGTTGGGATGGAAAGAGTGGCTCGGTCGGAGCCGCTCTCTCTTCCCAACCCCGGGAGGATTTGGGAAGCAGAAAGCTCCAGTCTGGGCCTCTGTGAAGTTCTGGCTGCCGGGAGATTTTCCCACATTTTCATTTTGACTCGATTTCCAGAGGTTTTCAGGGCTGAAAGCCTCCTTGCATCTGGTGATTCCCGGTTTTTGCGGGAGCTGGAAGCAGAGCGGCCCCAGACACCCTGTCCCTGCAGTGGTTAATGGCTGGGGAAAAGGGCTCTTTTCTGTCCTAATTTAGGAGGTGCAGGAGCCAGCAGAAAGGCAGAGCCACCGTGGAGCTCAGAGGATGGACACCTGCCCTGTGCTGCATCCTTCAGGATGCTTTTCAGCCGAGATGTCCATCCCTGCCGTCGGAGCCATGAGATGCTCCTGGCGGCTCCCTTGACCCTCTGAGGCCCTTCCCAGTGGTGGGAACAGCAGGGTTATCAGCACGGGGTGGCTCCTCTCTAAGATGGAAATTTCTCCTCTAGCCAGAGGCAGGGATCTTGGCTTGCATCCCTGCTCCCTGTCACTGAGCCTCGCCACCTTCCAGGGTTCACTTTGTTCACAAAGAGCCTCAGATAAGCTTCTTGGCAGGGGTGCTCCATTCTCCAGAGGCATTAGCAGGGCTGGAGACAGGGTTGGTTTTTTTTTTTTTAATGTTAACCTTTTGTATCCCTTAAAAGGTGCAGCTCAGGCACAGGACCTGGGGCCGGGGCAGCAAGTGGAGGAGCTGCGTCGGTGGGAAGGGTCGGAATCGCCGCCGGGGTTGGATCAGGGGGATCAAAAGGTCATGGAATATCCTGAGCTGGGAGGGACCCACGAGGATCAGCAAAGTCCAGCTCCTGCCCCTGCACAGGACGGGCCCAAGAATCCCACTGTGTGCCTTGGCAGCTCCCTGGGATGAGCAGAGTGGAGGTATGGAAGTGCTCACCTGTGGAGCACCTGGAGAGAGGAACCTTCTGCCTGGGGACAACAGGCTTTGAACCCCCTCCAGTCAGAGCCACAGGAAATCTTGCCATGGTTGTGCCCGAGCTTGGCTCTGTGGAATGGTTACAACTCAAGGAACATTTATTTTCATAGAATCATGGAATATCCTGAGTCGGAAGGAACCCACAAGCACCATCCAGTCCAGCTCCTGGCCCTGCCCAGACACCCCAACAATCCCACCCTGTCCCTCAGAGCGTTGTCCAAACCCTCCTGGAGCTCTGGCAGCCTTGGGGCCGTGCCCACTGCCCTGGAGAGCCTGGGCAGTGCCCAACCACCCTCTGGGGGAAGAACCTTTCCCTGAGATCCATCCCAACCCCCCTGGCACAGCTCCAGGCCATTCCCTGGGTCCTGTCCCTGCTCACAGAGCTGCCCCTCCTCTTCCCCTTGTGAGGAAGTTACAGACTGTGACAAGATCTCCCCTCAGTCTCCTCTTCTCCAGGCTGATCCAAGTTGGAACACGTGTTCCTCCACGACTGAATTTTTTCACCAGCGTAAAAAACCACTTTAACCCCCCTGCTCGTGCTCTGAAAACAAGCGGTCGGTGGTTTGAGGGAGCCGGTCTCAGGCATCCCATACAGCACCTCATGGGATGACCCAAGCTGTGGCTCCAGAGCCCTGCAGCATTCCCTGATGCAGAGGGAAGGGCTGCCTGGCAGACGTGCAGCCTCCCCTGCCACTCAGCCTCGTTTATCTTCGTTACTCGGGCTGTTTACGCAAGCGAGAATTGGCCAGAGGCGCCCGGCACCGCTGCGTGCCAAGGGAGGAAGCAGGCACCAGCACAAGCTCTCGTGGCTGGCACCCAATTCCTGCACGCTCTCCTTGGAGAACAAAAGGCCAGGATGCAGCTCCTGGCTCGGGGCAGCTCTGGCCCCTCACAGGGGGGTCCTCCGAGGGGACCCTCTGTGCTGGACCGAGCAGAGGGGCTCAGGCACCTTCACAGCAGAGCCCCTGAGCTTTTCTCCCGAACCTCCTGCTTGGGTTTAGTCCCTCCTTAACCCTTTGTGGTGTGGGAGCTGCTGCTGGGAGATGTCCCACAGTCCCAGGGATGTCCCCCCGGTCGCTGGGAGCGCAGCCACCGCTGCCGTCCCACCGCTCTCATTCCTGCAGCTCCACGATCCTGCTGCAGAAAGGGGCATCCCCCCCTGCCCAAGGGGCTGGAAGTGGCCTGGTCTCCCCAGGATTTAGTGCCTCTGGCTGGGCTGGGCTTGCCCAAAGAGCTGCCCCCACCCTGTTCGCCAGCCTGGGGTGGGTTTCCGAGCTCAGGGTTGGAGACCAGACCAGTGCCAAGCTGCTGGCAGCCAGCTGCCACTAAATAGAGAATAAATACACTTTCCAGAGTGTTTGATAGGGTTGCTGTGTGAAAATAACGCCTGTTTTGTTTTTTTTTTCCTTCTGCTCCAGTAAACACCAGTTGACACAAAATCTCCGGCGGGAAAATCCCTCGTGGCAGTTCCGAGGGAAGGAACGAATGGGACGGTCCAGGGACGGTGTCGTGTTGTCCCGAAGTTCTCCAACCAGCGGTTCTGAGGAAACACCAGCACGAATTCCAGTACCCACAACTCACTGGCTTTTAATTGTGGTGTGATGCATTCACAGCAATCCAGGAGGGGGGGAAAAAATCCCCCTGTTTTCCACTAAACAGCTGGATTTGAAGCGCTGGGAATGGTTGAAGTGTTCCAAGGCTGGAAAGCATCAGGGCAGGGCAGGAGCTGGGAGCACTGGGCTGTCACTTGGGGACAAGGGAGATGTTCCCAGCTCTGGGACTCGTCCCATGGGAAGGGTTTGGTGCTCACCCCCCGCTCTTGCCGTGTCCCACGTGCCAATGGAGGCAGCTGTGCAGGAAGGGTTGTGGGGATGTGGCAGGTACGGGCTTGCTCCACAAAAAACAGCAGCAGGAGAGCTGGGATTGAGCCTCGGGAAGGCTCAGGGGGAACACAGGGGTCACCTGCGCTCGAGGAAAATAAGGGGAAACTGGGATGGGTGAAGAGAAAACGGGGATCAAATGGAAGAGTGTCCAGCTGGACTTTTTAGCCTGGAGAACAAGGAGTGAGGAGGTGGGATGGAGCACTTCCCACCCCTCCCTTGGCTCCCCACATTCCTCCCTGCAGATCCCAAGCTCAGTATCCCGGGAGAACCAGACCTCTGCCCCTGCCCTTGCAGGTCTCCAATCCCCCACACCCAGACCCAAAAATCCTGGCTGGGTTTGGTGTTAAACCCCCACCCTGCCTCAAACAAAGCTGATGGAGGGGGTTGTGTCTGGAAGAGGAAACTCCAGTCGCTCCCAAAACGTGGCTTTTCTCCGCCAAAGTGGGGAAACAGGGCTGAGATGCCTGAGGGCAGGATCCCCCCCAGAGTCACCCGGGGACACTGCCTGCTCTCACACCTCCTTTGCAGGTGATGGAAAACAAAAGGACCCGAGATATTTAAAAGCAGGAAGCCAGAATCTGTAAACTGTCTAAAAATGTCTCCTCCAGAGATGAGCTTTGGCTCCGGCTCCCGGCCCCGAGGAACGATCCCTGCTAAGGAAAGGGAGAGGGAGGAGGGGACAGCGCTGGGGGACAGGGTTGGGCTGCCCTGAGTGTCCCCCCAGTGTGGGACACCCCGGGCTGAGAGTCCTCAGGTCCCGCCACGCCTCGGGATGAGGATTCCGTGGGGTGGGATGGTTTTAATTCCGGAATGTTTTTGGCTGGTTGGCCCCGGGAGCTGCGTGAGGGAAGGGAGTTTGCAGAAGGGAAGCAACTACCTGGTAGGGCCACCAAAATTCCTGAGGTGTCCAGGGATTCCAGGGCTTTTGTGGCAGGAGTTGTGGAATCATAGAACTATGGAATTATTTAGGTTAGAAGAGACCTTAAATATAATCTAGATCCAACCCCTTGCCGTGGACAGGGACACCTTCCACTATCCCAGGTTGCTCCAAGCCCCATCCAACCCAGCCTTGGACACTTCCAGGGATGAGAGAGCCACAGTTTCCATGGACAACCCGTGCCAGGGCCTCTCCACCCTCACAGAGCCCTCACTGTCCATCCTTGCCTTACTCCAACCCTTTCCCAAACCAGCTCTGATCGCCACCACTGACTGGTTTTGCTGGTTGAGATTTCCAGGGATGATGAGCTGGGTTATTTCCCAGATGTTGTTGCCTTGGGGGTGACACATAATCAGGGAAACCAAAACCTTGGAGTGGCTCATCACCTGGGATTGCTTCCTGCACCTCATCCACAGGCACTCCCTCTGCCTCACACGCACACTGGCTGCCTCCAAGGGAATTATGGCATCTCTGGGATGGGAAGAGCTCATAAAGGAGCTGTTATCCCATGGTTGATCCAGTCCAGCTGTCCAGTAACTCCTGTTGGACTCAGGGGCTGGTCCATGCTCAGAGGGGAGTGAGAACATCAGGGGGTTTGGTCAGGAAGGGCATCTCCTGGGGCAGAGAAGGTGTCTCTGGAGAGGGAGGAGAAGTGGGATTATGGAATGTCCTCCCTTTGATGTGACTTGGAGGCAAAGATTTTTAGGGATTTTACAGGAGTGTGGAGTGACAGGACAGGGGGAGTGGTTTCCAAACTGCCAGAGAGTGGGTTTAGATGGGATATTGGGAAGAAATTCCTCCCTGTGAGGGTGGTGAGGGGTTGGGATGGAATTCCCAGAGAAGCTGTGGCTGCTCCTGGATCCCTGGAAGTGTCCCAGGCCAAGTTGGAACAACCTGGGACAGCAGAAGTTTCCCTGCCCATGGAACGAGATGTGTTTTAAGGTCCCTCCCAACCCGAACCAGCCTGGGATTCTGGGATTCTGAGCAACCACCCTGAGCTGGGAGTGAATCCCCCTCACTGCTGTGGCTGCCAGGAGTGAGGCACAGCCTGTCATCACCCCTCTGGATGCAGAGCAGATCCCAGGGAGCAGGGCCCAGCAGCCAGGAAGCCCAGACAAGTGCTCTCCTGAGGCAGGCACTCAGAAACATCCTCTCCCTCGAGAGCAACTCTTCCTGCCTCCCTGACCCTATTTACATCCCCCCCCAAAAATAGCCCTGGGAAAAATAAACCCCGAATCTCTGGTTGCTGAAGGAGGAAAACCAAAGAGCTCCCGGGATCCAGGGCATGGATAAAAGGGCAGCAGGGACCTGTGTCACCCTTCTGGTGCCGAAATGGCAGAGGGAGGCAAGGAGAGTTTGGCAGGACGGGATGGAAGCAGAGCCTTTTCCAGCCTCTCACCCCCTCTGTGCCCAGGCAGGGCCGCAGGATGAGGTGGGAAGGCTGGAAGGGGTGAAGGTCCTCGGAGTGGCACGAGGAATCTGAAGTTAGCAGTGGGGAAACGCTCAAAATATCTGGGAAACCTGGGGGAGGGAAAGAAGAGAGAGGGCTGACGAGGGAGGTTTAGCCCTCATCAGTAATAAGAGTAATAATTAGCCCAGATAATAATTAGTCCACGTGCTCCTGTCTTTCCTAGATCTACCCAAAAAATCAGATCATTTTTTAATCAGACATGAGGGCAAGAATTAATGGGATGAGGGATTCAGTGCAAAACCCCCCCAAAAAGAGCTGCTTTTCTCCCCAAATGCTTCTCAAACCACCTGATTTTAACCCCAAAACTTTTTAATTACTGGCTTCATTTCACCTATTGAAGTTTGGAAGAGATCAATCAGCTTTTGCTTTGTTTTTTTTTCCCCCACTGAAGTTTCAGAGAAGCTGCTTTCCCAAACGCAAAACTTCTTCTATTTCCCCAACCTTGAAAACAAGGAGGAAGAAAATGTAAATATTTTCATCCGAGTGTTTTCGTGGATGAAAAGTGGGTTGGTTTTGTTGTGTTTTTTTTTTTTTTCCCCTCGCTGCTGTTTTCAGCAGTCCTGCTCTGCCCTTACTCGAAAACCTGGGTCTTATTTAAAAGCTCAGAGGGGAATTGTTTAGAAAATCAACCTAATACTTACAGCCTTTCCTTTGATTTCTCAGGAGTAAAGCCAAGCCAGCTCGCTGCAGGGAGGGAAGAAAACCCAGGATGAGCTGCTGTCTCTGGACTAATTTTTTTTTTTTTAAAAACCTTTAGATGCTGCAACACCCTCGTAAAAAGGTGAGTTTTCACCCTGCCCAAACCCTCCATCCCGCAGAAACCTGTTCGGGGTTTGCTGACGCAGGAGTGATGCTCCCACCTTTGCAAACCCGCTGATTGCTGGGACGGAGCTGTTTGGCTCTTAATTCCCAATTAAAAGGTGCGGTGTAACCATCCCAGCGCTCCCAGTTTTCCCCATCCAGAGGGAAATCCGAGCCGGGGTGGAAGGGGAGGGCGCTCTCCCTCCTTCTCTCCTATTTTCCCTTCCCCTGGACGCGGTGTCACGTTAATTTTATTTTTTTTTTTCCCCTCCCGAGGTTCAGCCTCGCTTCCCAAGGTTTGTCTTGGCGCGTGGCTCGCCCCGAAGCCCGAGCGGGAGCGGATTCTTTATGTAAACGAAGCGCTGATCGTAATTACGGGCCGCTCTAATTGCTGCTGAGCAAATAAACAGCGAAGGGCAGCAGCAGCCCCGGGGGCACCGCGGGGATTATGCAACCCCTGCAAAACCCCGGGAGCCGAGCCCGGGTGTCCCTCCCACCCTCCCCGGGGCTCGCAGAGGAGGGGACACACTTGGGTGTGTCCTGCTCCGGGACACGGGAGCAGCTCAGGGAGACAGGGAGTCGGGGTCTCTGAGGGTGTTCTGCACGGCAAAGACGGGTTTCCGCCGGGCAAAAGTCCTCCCTGCTCCCTTTTTGGGGTGTTTGGATCCAAGTGGATCTGCTGGAGGGATCTCTGGGGCTGCTGGTGGAGCAGGGAGAGGGTTTTGTGGAATCATAGAGTGTCGTGGAATCATTGATTGTCGTGGAATCATGGAATGGTTTGGGTTGGAAGGACTTTAAACATCATCTTGTTCCACCCCCTGCCATGGGCAGGGACACCTCCCACCATCCCAGGTTGCTCCAACCTGGCCTTGGACACTTCCAGGGATCCAGGGGCAGCCACAGCTGCTCTGGGAAACTTGTGTCAGAGCCTCACCACCTTCCCAGGGAGGAATTTCTTCCCAAGATCCCATCTAACCCTGCCCTCTGTCAGTGGGAAGCCATTCCCCCTTGTCCTGTCCCTCCAGGCCCTTGTCCAAAGTCTCCTTCTGTGTTTCCTGTGGCTCCCTTCAGGTCCTGGAAGGTACCTTCATATCCTTCATATCCTGAGCTGGAAGAGACTCCCAATGATCATCCAAGTCCAGCTCCTGGGTTCCTCATCCCACAAACCAGCCAAGCAGGGAGGCACCTCTGCCTGCTCCCTGTGAGGTTCCTGGGGATGATCCAGCAGCTGGACAGGGAATTGTGAGGGATGCAGGCCAGGACCTGCCACCCAGGGCGGGATCAGCCCGGCCTGGCACCCACCCAAGCCCTCACTTAGGAGGATCCACAGCTTATACACCCATTTACTCCTGACTAAGTCCTGTCTCATGCCTGACATTTGTTGGCTCGTGTGCTTCATCCCAGATTTTATTTGTGTGCTTTAAATTTGGGCAGCACCCAGGCAGAGCCACGTTTTGGGAGCGACTGGAGTTTCCTCTTCCAGACACAACTCCCTCCATCAGCTTGTTTGAGGCAGGGTGGGGGTTTAACACCAAACCCAGACAGGATTTTTGGGTCTGGGTGTGGGGGATTGGGTTAGAGGCCCTGTGTGCAAGGGCAGGGTTAGAGGTCTGGTTCTCCCGGGATACTGAGCTTGGGATCTGCAGGGAGGAATGTGGGGAGCCAAGGGAGGGGTGGGAAGTGCTCCATCCCACCTCCTCACTCCTTGTTCTCCAGGCTAAAAAGTCCAGCTGGACACTCTTTCATTTGATCCCCATTTTCTCTTCACCCATCCCAGTTTCCCCTTATTTTCCTCGAGCGCAGGTGACCCCTGTGTTCCCCCTGAGCCTTCCCGAGGCTCAATCCCAGCTCTCCTGCTGCTGTTTTTTGCGGAGCAAGCCCGTACCTGCCACATCCCCACAACCCTTCCTGCACAGCTGCCTCCATTGGCACGTGGGACACGGCAAGAGCGGGGGGTGAGCACCAAACCCTTCCCATGGGACGAGTCCCAGAGCTGGGAACATCTCCCTTGTCCCCGAGTGACAGCCCAGTGCTCCCAGCTCCTGCCCTGCCCTGATGCTTTCCAGCCTTGGAACACTTCGACCATTTCCAGCGCTTCAAATCCAGCTGTTTGGTGGAAAACAGGGGGATTTTCCCCCCCCCCCTCCTGGATTGCTGTGAATGCATCACACCACAATTAAAAGCCAGTGAGTTGTGGGTACTGGAATTCGTGCTGGTGTTTGCTCGCACCAGGCTTCTGCTCTGCTTTATTTCACGTGCTCTGCTGCAATAAAATCAGACTCGTGGGGCTTTGCAAAGCATCTGCTGCTTCCCAAAGGGCTGCAGGGGCACTGACTCCCTGTTTTACCCTCCCCAAAACCCCCTGCCGCGGTCCCGTTTCCTGGGGAAGGCTTGGAGTCCTCCAGCTTTGGAGCTGAAGGAATTCTGCCTCTCGGAGCTCGGCGGAGCTCGGGAGCGGGAGGAGGTTTATCCCCTCCAGGGGAAAAAAGGGGAAAAACATCGACGAGGAGAAAACATCTCCTTCCATCCCCTCTCCCCACTGGCTTTTCCGTGTTGCTGTGGCTCTCGGCTCCTCTCCGGGGTTCCCCCCGACTTCCCCGCTGCGGAGCCGTCTCCAAGTGACAACGGTGAGCGGATTAATTAAGCTGCCTGACAGCCCTTGGCAGCCACGAGCTCTGCCACGCCAGCGCTAATTAAACCCAACAAAACCTGCCTTTATCTCCAAACCCTGCCGCGGGCTGGGATAAGGCAGGAGGCCACCGAGAGCTGAGCTCGGGCAGTTCATCCTGCCCGAGAGAGAGCCTGGCACCCGCCCCTGCTCCTCCCTGAGGGGCTGGGAATGTGTATCCCAGTCCCTGAAAGGCAGGTCTGGAAAGGGAAAGGGGCTCTCACTCCCTGAAGGCAGGTCTGGAAAGGGAAAGGGGCTCCCACTCATGGAAAAGCAGGTCAGGAAAGAGGCTCCCAGTCCCTGAAAGGCAGGTCTGGAAAGGGAAAGGGGCTCCCAGTCGTGGAAAAGCAGGTCAGGAAAGGGAAAGGGGCTCCCACTCGTGGAAAAGCAGGTCAGGAAAGGGGCTCCCATTAGTGGAAAAGCAGGTCTGGAAAGGGAAAGGGGCTCACATTCATGGAAAAGCACGTCTGGAAAAAGGAAAGGGGCTCTCACTCCCTGAAAGGCAGGTCTGGAAAGGGAAAGGTGCCCGATGCCACCAGACCTCAGGGGGGCTGACAGCCCTCAGGCAAATTTGGTGCTGATAATCCCCCCAGTATAGAGGGGTTGGGGGATGAAGTGGAAAATCCCCCCTTGCCCGTGTTTTATGCCCAAAGGGGGATTTTCCACTCCAGCCCCCCCCCCCTCTGATCCCTTGAGCAAACCTTGGGTGGGCTCCTGGCATTGGACCCGGGAGGGGTCGTGGGTGAAACCTAGTACCTGTTGATGCTGCAAACACCTGGGAAGCAGAATTTAAATCAAGAACAGATGTAGGAAACACGCAGAGAGGAGACAACCCGCTGGGAGGGCACGTGCCTTGCAGATGGGGCTGCTCAGAGCTGGGAACCAGGAGAGGGGTGACCCTGGAGCTGCTGGCACTGGGAATGACCCTGCCCTGGAGCTGCTGGCACTGGGAATGCCCCTGTGTGTGTGTCCCTGCCCTGGAATGCCAGTCCTGGTTTCCCTGGAGCCTCTGAGCCTCAGGGAGCTGCTCCCCTCTGCATTTCTGCTTCTCCTGGCAGAGGAGGCCTGATCTCACTTAGCTGAGGGAGGCTGATAAGAGCATTATCTGGAGGTGTGGGCAGGATGAAGCAGTTGTTTGCCAGGCACTGTCCTTCTCCTTGTTCCCTGGTGGAGGGAAAAGGCAAGGCCAAGCCAGGATGGGGTGTTACACAACCCCCTGTGCACATGGATCCCTGTGTACATTCCCATTCCCAACACACTCCGGTGGCCCTGCCCTTCAAGGGTTTATTTTCCAGCCACTTAGTTTGGGGAACTTTAATTGCTCTTTGATTAAGTGACTTCTGATTTCCCCCCTCATCAAATGTAATCTCATTTGCTCCTTCTTCCTTTCCTCTCTTTCTTTTTCTTCTCCCCCCCCCTCTCCCCGTCCTGGAAATTAAATTAACATTCCATCTAATTACTCAGCCACTTCTCTAATTGCTGAAGGGACTGTGGTTGTTGTGCTCATTTAATTAATTGAGACCCGCAATGTTTAATGAGGAAGAGGATTTATTGGCTGGGGAGTTGGTGTGCAGGGTTGCCTGGCAGGAGAGGGAGGTAGATGGAAAGGTCTAGGAAAGGCTGGATCTGAAATTCCATTTTTATTTTTTTTTTTGAGGTGTAAATATGGAGCAAATCCCTTCCCCTGCTGGTTGGGTTGCCTGTCTGGGGTGGATCCTTTTAAATGGAAATAGCGTGTTTTAAAATGCAGCACGTCCAGGGGGTGAATCAGGAGGGTGAATCAGCTCCAGAGGTGATCCTTGGGATGCTCCCCTGTCCCTGCTGCAGCACCAGCATTCCCAGTGTGCTGCTGCCCATCTCCCAGCAAAGGGCAGGGATGCCAACATGCCTGGGAGCAGGGTGGACTCCTCCGTGCTGGCACCGGGAAGGGCTGGCTGCACTCTGGGATTCCTGGGCCCCAGGGGGAGGCTCTGCTGGGAACAGAGGCACATTCAGCAGGGAGATAACAGGCTCCTGCTGTGCCTGGCCTGGGGGCAGGTGGCTTTGGCCCTGGTCCACGTGGGGGATTTAAGGCAATCCATTGTATTTTGCATTTCTGTTGACTGGGAGCACCCGGCGACCTATTCCTGTGTTTCCAAGGGCAGGGAGGATCCAAAGGAGGGGCCATTTAGACTGGATAGGAGGAAGAAGCCTTTTACAGTGAGGGTGGGGAGGCCCTGGCACAGGTTGCCCAGAGAAGCTGTGGCTGCCCCTGGATCCCTGGAA